AATCAATCTTTTTCTTCAAACGGGTTTTCATGTTATTCACTTTTTTCATTATTTGGGCCTCTGTCATAGCTACTCCATAGTTTTGCTGCAATTCATTTTTCAGTCGACTTAAGGAACTTTCCTTTTTTTGCTTCGCAGCTGGCACTTGAGATTTATTTAATATATATTTATGTTCCTTCAGTAACTGAACAAATGCCACATCAGATATATCGTCGTTGTTAGTTTTCATTTTAAAATCACAGAAACACACAAGTCAAAGACCGCTAAGAAACCACTGACCTGTAATATTCCTAATTCATAATTTATTGTGGTTACATCTTGTAAGTTAAGACATGTTTTTTAGCTTGTGTTTATTTATACCAAAACGAGTAAAAGCTCAGACTCTGCCCTCATACTCCGAGCACTTGCTCAGATTCAGGTTTTATTAATACCACCCAATATTTAAAAAAAAATCTAACCCAAAAACAAATAATAATATCAACTTGAAATTTTTGGAAAAAATCAAGCTTAATAATTCTGAAAATATCCCATTGAAAATAGTAGTTAAGGGGGGGTTTGGTAAAATGTGAAGATTATAATTTATGTTATGTATTGTGATGGGACTGATCTTATAAAATAAACATTTTAGTTCACTTGGTTTATTTGTCAATAAAAGGTATTTAAAAATAGTTATTTATGCAACAAGTGTGTGTAAAGTTACCCTCTTTTGACGAATGTGAATGTTGTCGCACGAGCCGTAGGCGAGTGCGACAATCACATGAGTCAAAAAAGGGACTTTACACACGAGTGGCATACAATATTTTTTCTACTACCGTACACATAATCCACTAATATTAGAAATATAAAAGTTACTTTTTTTCACTAGTGAAAATAGTACTTTACTTTACGCACTAGTGAATAAAAGTAAAATGTGCCAAAAATTGTACACAGCAACAAAAATAAATTTATTGGAACTTTACAAATTTATAATTCTTACAGAACAAAATGACTAACAAATGAAGAAATATTTAAAAAAATAGGTTTTTAACTCTTATGAATATTAATATTGAATGTGCAATTATTGCAATTACCAAAACTTAAGGTTTTGGCCTTTTCCAGCACAGAGTTTGAAATATATTGTGATATTACTTCTGTAACCCTATTTTGAGCTTCGAGTGGTATGGATTTGGCCTTTTCAAGTAAAGAGGTTGAAATATTTTGTGTAACTCTAGTTTCACTGTCGAGTGGTTCCACTAATTCTTCATTAGAGTTGTCAACGGTAAAATTGTAGCTTTGTTTGGAAGTGGATGGCATACTGTCATCCATCAAAATTTTATTAGAAATTTTGTTTTTTTGTGTTATTGTACTGTCTACGTAGCCTTCTGCAACAGCAGATGATTTCCATCCTCCATGTTTTTTGACCGTTAGAATGTCTCCTCCAGAATTTGCCAGCATAGTGGCTGAAGACCTCCTGTAAAAGCCGTTGGATTGGGCAAGTTTAGATACGTTGCTATAACACTTGGCATTTTACCAAAAGTATTTATCCCTACAGGCTGTTTAGAATATTTTCCATTTGCGAATTTAAAAAAAAAATCTGTTACAATTTATATTTGATGGTCTTAATGAGGTATATTTTTTTATGAAAGATAAATAATCAACTGCAGAATTATTTGGATTTAAAATCGTAAAAATGCGTTCTATTCCATTTTTGGTTTCTGATACTTTGACAATATACAGTTTGTTTATCTTTCACATCGTTAATTGTCATTTTACATAATTCTTCCCGGCGACAAGTTCCCGCAATTCCAAATATAAAAGCTACCTAATAAATAACATATTGTAATGTTAAAAATAATTTATTAAACATTAGGAAATATCTTGACGTTGCTCATGTAAAACTCCAAATAAATGCTATTGTAAAAAATATAAAAGTTTTAGGCATAATGTGTTGCCTAATAACCCCGGTGGCCTGTTAGGACAGCAACTGATTTTGTTAGGCAACACACCATACGAACACACATTTCGTTGCAAAACTTTACAGAATATTTTAATTTTATATTGAGCATTCAAGCTTTTACTGAGGCATTTACTTACTTTGATCATTAAAAACTTGGAATCTGGAGCTTTCAACAGAAAATTAATTAGATCTTCTCGTTCAAAAATTTTGAATTTTTTTGATTTATAACCTTTATTTTTTTATTTGAGAAACGCTATTAACTTGTTGAATTTCGAAATATCAACGTTGTTTTTATATTTTAAGGTGCTTTTAAGCATAGAATAAATCAACTATAGGGTAGAAGCTTTGCAATTCTTCAATTCATCAGAGAAATATGCTAAAATAACGTTTTCCGAATATTTTGTCACCTTATTCTTCCTACACCATTCTATAAATGCATTTTATTTTTGCTGATAAATATATGCAGATTTTTCTGGCAATAAATTTTCAGTGGCCTTTTATGCACTGCATAAGATATCTGGGGGAGTATTATCAAATTCGCTATCGCTAGATAAATTTGAATCCATATCGATTATGACAGATATAATAAACTGCAAATAAAATTTGAATTTAAGTAAACAAACATTAAAAAGTAAAACTTTTTACCTTCTCAAACTTGATTGAGTTTAAAAAAATGCTAAATTGGCTTTAGAATCTAATCTTAAACTTAAGTATACTTTTGTCGTGTTCTGTTATAAGGTAGGTACTAATTAAAAGTTTAGAGATTGACAGTTCTTCTAATCCACACAGCCACGGCCAACTTACTTTTACCAAAATCGACATCCACTGTATGTTTACTTTTAATTAAATCGATGACATTTAGAGAAAATTATAATTAAAATAAACTGTTGATAATTTGTTGGACACTAAACAGATATAAGCAAAAATAATTTATTTATTTGTCTTTTTTATTCCAGCCACTTCGCTTGGTAGTGCCCCATTTACATCGTCTTCTAGCGCCTGGTTCCCTAATAACCTCAATCTTGTACAGAAACTGGAGACGTCTTCGTCGTGTCGTTGATAGCAGTTGCTTAGATTAAGCAAACTATCTCCTGGTAACCTTTTTGCTGAAAATTTACTAATTAATCTTGCCTTTAAATCCTTAAAATCTAATAAATCTAAACTAGGTTCTGATTTAAAAAAATCGTATGCTGCTCCTGTAAATTTAAATTTAAGTAATTTTAATGTGTCTATTTCTGTCCAGTTGTCTAGTTTTGCCCTTTGTTCAAGTTTTTCGAGATATCTTCCTACATCTCTGCCTGTAAAATCTGCTAACGTTGTCGCTATCACCCCTAATGGTTGTATAGTACTGATAGGTTGTTGTCTTGGTGCTGTTATATCTGCTCCCGTCATATTTTCTACTCTAATTTATATTGCCTTTAAAAAATAAAAAATTTTATGTTTCCCACATAACCTTACCTTTTTTTAGTTTTGACATATTTGTCATTTCATTTTAAAATTTTTAAGTCGTTTTGATTACTATACGGTGAAAGAGAGAGGTCTGACCACATACTTTGATTACTATACGAGGCAAGAGAGAGGTCCGACACGCCCAACATAGGGCGCGGCCATTTTGAACCCTGTGACACAGTTTACAGCTAAAGAATCAGATCGCTCACTCTGCGTCGGCACTTTTGATCTCAATGTTTCAGTTTATACACTGTGCAACTCGGATAATACTCGTACAATATATGACAACCGCCTATAATAAAACAGCAGTCTTCTGCGTATCCTGAATTTGTATCCCTGGAGTGGATGTTATTTTGGAAATTTCAATAGGTCCGAGTGAGCTAACTGATTCTTTAGCAATAAACTGTGACTTCAAAAATAATATTCACTGACACTGACAGCAGCAAGCAAAATATCAGGTGCGTTTTAATCATCCGCTTCTGCTTCCGGAATTGTCGGTTTAGTCGTTTTAACCTGTCAGATTAAAACAAGAAAATCGACAATTCCGAAGCAGAAGCGGATGATTAAAACGCACCTATTAAAAATATTGCGCCAAGATGTAGGCAACACGTAATAAGGGTTCAAAATGGCGGAGTTTTCTATCTCCTTTTAAAAGGCACTCAGAAAGCTGCGCAGTGCGACCATTCTCCGTATAGTAAAAGAAAATCATTTTTGTAAAACGTTATATTTTGTTATGTACAAATTTTGTCAAATTTTACTTTTTTTAACTAGTGCGTAAAGAGTTTTACTTTACGCACTAGTGAAAAAAAGTACAACTTTACACACTTCGTGGAGTGCGTAAAGTACGTACTTTACGCACGGTAGTAGAAAAAATATTTTATTTTACTTGACACGCGTGATAAATTGTGAAAATGATTAAATTTACAATAAAAACCTAAAAACGGTAGGTAACGTTTCATATAATATTTTTTACATACAAATCAATGTCAAAATAATATCAAAGTATGAAGAAAAGTCAGCTAATTATAACTAATAATGTTTATAAATGGTTTTCAACGTAATAAAAACAAAACAAATATAACAATAACTAAAATATCCATTAATATTTGTATTAATAATAGCTACACTCAATATAAACCCAAATATTTTTTACTTTAATTTCTAAAATGTTAAATTTGATGCCCCTTTCCAACATATTAAAATTTGCACAATTGGAAGTACCAAATAATAAATGCACGCCAGTGGACTGCCTTAAAATTCAAGGCTATGTGTTCGCGTTTTGCACACTTGTTTCTTGATCATCAATTGTCTTTTAAGTTCAAAGCCGTTTTATTTACAACCAATACCTCCAAAGATATCACGACCTTTATAGTAGGTAGTAACATCGACAACCCGAAAAGAAATGTGACTAAAACAAATAATAGTGATAATGTTATCTATATTTACACATATAAATAGTACATAATATCCTACATAAGTAAAAACATTCTATTTATTTATTCAAATTCCCTAATCATTTGATATTAAATTTTGGAGTTGATACACAGAAAAACAAGATTTATAATTAACTAGATACAGTGTTAGTGTAAGAAAAAAGGAAATAAAATTTTGCGATATGGATTTAAGTGCCGGTTTAGTGGATTCCTGTCCCGGAAATCTACAGGGTGTCGAAGGGTTCTTATTTTTAACCCTTTTAAACACCTTGATGGCAGGTAAATGCAACATCGGATCCGTCGAACCATATCCGAAAAACTACGGTCCTGAATTGAAGGACGACGAAGAATTTGATTTCATTGTAGTCGGATCAGGTTCCGCAGGATCAGTGGTGGCCAATAAGCTAAGTGAAAATAAGGATTGGAGGGTTTTAGTGTTGGAAGCAGGAGGATATCCCTCAGCTACTAGTGATGTAAAGTATATTTTGAATTAGTGATTTTTTTTTAATTGTGCAGAGCTTTGGCAAAAGTGGTACCATACCTAAATAATGTAGAATGAAATGGGTGAAAAAATCTGTGAAAAAATAGCTAAAATCAGACCATTTATTCTATCGAAAAAAATAATTTCTCAAATAAGAAGAATAAATAAAATTGTAAAATTGAAAAAAATGTAACTATAAGTATGGTTCCGCTTTTGTAAAAGTTTAGCTTATTTTTGCTAGTTTTTTTTTACATTTTTTTAGCGATCTCTCTTCTGTTTTTTCTCTCCTTTTTTTCCTTAAGATGAGTATTCTACTTGATTTTAGAGCAGAGCATGTAAGGCTTTCGTAATACCCCACTTTTAAAGTTTATTTTTGATTTATTCTATAAGAAAAAAATATATATGGAGCCTCTTTTTTAAAATTTGAATCTGTTTTTACTAAAAAATATAAAAAATTCGACTTTTTATCCATTTTATTATTTTTTTTTAAACTAAATTGAATTTTGAAAAAGTGGTTCCAGAAAAGCATAGATGCAACCTTTACCTACACGTATATATTTTTTCTTTTAAAAATAGTCAAAAACAAATTTTAAAAGTGGGGGTACTACGAAACCCTTATATTTTTTGTCTAGAAAGTGGCGCCTCTGTTAGATTTTTAATAAATTAATATTTGTGAATGAAAATAATTTATAATATATTTTACTGATGTTTTTCGAAGGATAAACAAATTTTACGTATTTATACACCTTATTGTTTTACGTAAATCATTTCTATAATAATAAGATCGACATATATAATATGCAAAGGTTTTATAATATACCAATTTTACGGAATATTTTTATTTTTACTACAAGAAAAATTGTGTGAGTACAAGTGAAGGCTCAACCCGTACTCTTCTGAAGTCATTTTTTGAAAATTTTAATTGATTTCGTTTGAAAAAAATCTTAAAAGATGTCTTTCTAACGAAAAGAAATACAAATAAAAATACTAGATGGAAAAATTATATTTAATTTTTACCTACAGGAGTATTTATTTTTCTTGTAATTTTTGTCCTATACATAATTTCTCTAAAATGGACCATATTCAAGATATTTAAGAAAATGTGTAAATTTCGAATTTTGAAGAAAACTCAAAAACAGATAAAGAAATTAGATTTTGGACAAAGTCGGAACATCTGGGGGGTACTTTATGGGAGGCCGTTTTTATATTTTAGATAATATATCTGTTTGGAGAAAAAAATTGTTCAAATAGAAGTTACTTCTAATATTATCTATAATTTTTGCCTTATGTCAAATTTTCCTGATATGGTCCATATTCGAGAAATATAACAAAATGTGCAAAATTCTGATTTTTAAGAAAATTGTTAAACTAAAAGTTGTTTGCGATATCGATCTCTATAATTTTTGTTTTTTATAAAATGGACCGTAATGGAAAAATTGGAGTAAAAGTGCTAAATTTAAATTTTTCAGTATTTTTGTTTTCAATGAATATCTATAGAAAAATGTTTCGAGTTAGATGTATGTGGAAAATGTATATATTTAGTTTATCCTTTAAACATTTATGGTGCTGCAATAGGTTGTACAAAATAACCGGAAAAAGCCAATAATAACTAGATAGGAAAGTCATATGTTGGACACATCAGATTTTTCATAAAACTAATAAACAATAAAATAAAAATAAAAAACCAAAATCATTTGCAAGCATATGAGTGCATCAACAGTACATAACGATGCAATATTTTTTTTGGCGAAAAATCATAGGGAGGAATAACTTCACGGTAAATAAATTGCTGTAACTACTAAAGAGAGGGGGTGACAAAAGTTTAATTGGTGGTGCATATGAGTGCATCCCGGTACAATAGTTTTTTTGCAAAAACTTCATTGGGAGGCTAACTTCACGGTAAAGAAATAGATATAACTACTAAAGGGAGGGGGTGCAAAAAGTTTAATTGGCGGTGCATATGAGTGCATCAGGAGTGCATGACGGTGCTATATATTTTTTTTGTGAAAAAATCATTGGGGGTAAAGAAACAGCTATAACTACCGAAGGGAAGGGGTGCAAAAAGTTTAATTGGTGGTGCATATTCGAAATTTTTTTTATTGACCATAATACTTTTTTTTGGAATGAAAGCATTAATTACTGTTTTTCAGTTAAACTCCATAAATCAATTCATATTTTAATCTGAACGAAATTCAAGCACAGTAAAGTTGCAATAACTAAACAATATAATGGATTTTTAAAATTAAATTCAATTTATATTTTGAAGTAAATAAGTTAGCTAAAAATTTTAAACGTATGAAGTGATTAAAGTTATAAATAATAACGTTAAAAAGATTCATATGTGAATTTTCAATTTCTATTGATGTATTGTTTTAAATTCCATCCGGACTGGCAGCAACATAATCAAATTGGAAATCAATAAAAGTCCACATTTAAAACCTTTTTCTTGCAAATAAATTTCCAAATCCTATTTTGCTCTGGATTTATTGTCCATGTCATATTTGGTGGCTTTAGCAAAACAAAAATAAAAGATTTTATGAGATTTTTTGGAGAAGACGTTTCGTTTTTCTACAAATGTCCCCAAGTTTTAAAGTAGTGACACGTCTTCGTCTTTCATTGTGCCACAATGCACAATCAGCTTGATATCGTGTCACATTCATTTTTTTCTCATCTATAGACATTGGCAAAATTTTTAGAAAATCTTCTTTTGCAGTGCGTATCAAAAGGTGCGACAGATCAAAGCCACGCGCGAAAGCATTATGGTGTAGCAGTTTTTTTTTTTTTGAAAAATATCATTGGGGGGGGGGGGACAATTTTACGCACCTTAAATATTAATATTATCAGTATAAAACAGTTATCTTTACAAATTGTTACATATACCGAACATAAGTTTGTTGACATAAACATTATTTTCATAATACAAATAAATATATCTGTGTTAAAGAACGGTCATATTTTATTTAATATATTCATTTAAACATGTTTTTGTTTTTTATCTAAATAATATTGAGTACTAACGTTTTCTATACAACTTCTTATACCCGACATTGTAAGACAAAAAAAGTTTATTACCTATCACTTTTTTCTTTCAATTCATTTGTAGATTTTGCCCAAATGGAATTTTTTTTTAACTGTGCAACTTACAACTCGACTGCTGATAGTCAGTGTAACAATATGGGTTTTTATGAATTTGTTCCAGAAACTGTGCCTAGGTGGTTCATTATAACAGATTATTCAAACAACAAAAATAATTTTTGTTAAAATATAAATAATAATATGCTGAAACATTATATCTGATCGTTACATATTATAAAACCAAAGTACCTCTTCATTTAACTAACTCACTCATCGCTACCCCAAGTTTGAATATTACAAATCCGATTGAATATAAAAAACAAAAGGTATAGAAAATATTTTTTAAGAACCTAGTTTATTTAAAAATATAAAATGTCAAGAGAGCGTTTATTGTCCGTTTACATTGGCTTCCTGTATTTGTTATTTTGGCTGTCTGAATCGAGGATATCAGTGGTACAGGAACGAATGTATTGCTAAACTATGGACGGATTTCTACTCCTTACAGCCGGTTGCAAGAACGATAGTTACATATTTATACTCATTAACACTAATGATCCACTAAAAATGCATTCCAATCCTCTATAGCTATGGAACGTCGTAAATCTGGCAACATGGAGCGTTTTTCGCAATATGACCAATAATATATATTGTAATGAAAACACCCTATATCCATATAAAATACTCTAATAATAACCATATTAATAATAATAACAATAATAATAAGAACATTAATGAATAAAGTAAAGTGGGAAAATGTTATATAACCCTGTATATTTAAAATTTATAAGCAAGTCATAAGTGAAAGTAGATAGAAAGGACGGTTTCGATGTTTGAGGTTGTTGAATGTCAATTTGAGAAGAAAAGATATCAAAATTTTTGTAAAGATTTTTTTTGGAAAGAAAGATTGAATTCTTTTGAATGATATAAAACAGAAATTGGAAAACTAATATATAAAACAGATTGAAAATAAACAATATATGTAAATGTTTGTAAAATATAAAGTATTTACGAAAGAACATTCGTAATTGTTTCCGAAGAGTTATGGATAGAAGAACCAAGAGAGGACAGATAAACCGTATATAATGGAATACCAACTTGTGGAAATAGACACTTTTCAAGTGAACAGTGAGTAAATTGTATAAACTAATTCAAGTACAGTTCATCAAATTTCTAGAGGCTTTCGACGGCTAGACAGAGAAAGCACTACTGAGAGGCATCGGTTGGCGAAGCCGACGGATTTACGCAATGAAAGTACACTCTGCGTATCAAGTATTTCACTATTTTATTCAGACGTAAATTTCGCTAAAACATTTCTTTTATTTTCGTTTGTGTTTTTTGCTCATTACAGTTTAATAGAACCTAAGTATGGAGTTTAATAGCAAATTAAGAGGCCGCGTTTTTAACAGTCAATCTCGCGAAATAATAGCCAATGTTATAGAGTTTATGAGAAGAGAAGGAAACTTTAATTCACCTTCAATACCATTTAAAAATGTAAATGATCGTGTTGCTGCAGCCACAGGAGTATCTAAAAACACTGTCGTGCGCATTTCTGGAGAGAAAAAAAGAATCGATAACCGTGAGATATCGGAATTTTCATCACCAAGAAAAACCATTAAAAAACCAAAAACAGTTAATGATATAGATGAAGCTGACAAAGGTATTTTAAAAAGAATTATTCTGTTCATGTTAATCTCGGAAAATATTGTTCCAACATTAAAAACAGTTCTGACTAAATTTAGAGAAGCTACAGGGTACAAAGGAAGCTATGAAGGTTTAAGAAAAATAATAAAGTCGCTAGGATTTCGTTGGCGGAAAACAAAAACAAACAGAAAAATATTAATGGAAAGGTTTGATATTCAAAAGCTACGTTTAGACTATCTGATTCGTTTAAAAAGTTATCGAGCAGAGGGCCGTCCA